TCCTCCTCCTCCTCCTCCTCCTCCTCCTCCTCCTCCTCCTCCTCCTCCTCCTCCTTCTTCTCCTTCTTCCTTTCTGCTATCTGGTTAAAGAAAAACACTAACCTGTGAGGTGTTTGGGGCTGAGAGAAACTCAGGCAGACTGCCTCAAAGTTCCCTATCCAACTTTCATATCATATTGGTTCTATTTATTAAGTTTTCCAAGACCCTCTAATATTGGAGATGAACAGCCATATACCATGACATAGAAACAAGAAACAGATATCTGGGCCGATATGAAGAAAATTATGTGTTGTCTTATGTAGGAAAGGGACATCTGTATTCAATCTATCCTGGAAAGGATTGTGGAGAGAAAGCATTTGGACAATCCAATCTTCCTTTAGAAAAAATGGAGAAGAGATTGAACCTTCTTGTGGAAAAGATCTCTCACTACGTGTACCATTGCCCCCATTTAATGATGCAAAGAATACCATCCAACTGGTTAAAATGCCATCTAGCATTTGGACCTTGAATTAACAAAATGCTTGGAAAGGAAGTGTCATAAAATTTTAGGTTCAAAGCAGTGGCATTAGATATAAGCAAAATTTTCAGGCTCCGGACATGCCACAACATGTGCCAGAGCTTGAAAATGATGTCGGAGTGGGGAGGAACTGATATTTACCTTGTTGTTGCCTCAGCTGCTCCAGCCACCAATACAGACTCGACACTGCTCCGTGACCCCCTCAAGACAGTCCACGGAGAGGGCTCTGGATGGAAGCTGGGTTCCGACAGCCAGCTGATGTGATGGTTGTGCTGACTATGAAGAGACTAGGATGATGTCATCAGGAGGTGACAGGGATTGCAGCAGGCTGGGAAAGGGTGGTAGCCACTGAATCTGGGACTGAAGGAGAGACGAGCGGTAGCTGACATTCAGAGGAGAATGGCCATGGTGGTGGGTAATCACAGAACTGGGCACAAGCATGGGATGATAAGGAAGGGTAGTAAGCATACGGCTGAAGGAAGCTGCAGACAGATGGATATTAATATAATGAAGGAACAGATGTTATGCAGCTTAGATGAGTGTGAGGGGGGGAACTAGGGTATTTAAAGTGCTGAGAGGCAGTGGCTCTCAGTGCTGGCTTTATCTGGAAATGTTCTTACTTGCTGTTGCATTATTTTGGTTGCTGGAATAAAGTGACAATTATTCCAAACTGTGAGTCCTGTCTGCTTTTTCCATGTGGGAGACCAAGAGACCAGAGGCAGCTGAGAGAAATTATGCTGGTACTAGTAGAGAAGAGGAAAGCAGTGGCAGTTACAAAGAAAAAATATAGGGTACTGGAGCTGAAATTTTTTTTGAGTGTGACCTGAGTTTGACATTTCCATCTACTTCCAAGCCATTAGTTGAAATCAATCATTAAACTTTTTTCTTCTGTATTAGGCTTTAGCTTCACTTTGCATAACCTCCTGTTGATCTGTAATCATTCTGGGGACACATGAAATACAGGTCTAAGTAGGAAATTATCTGCCATATCCTATCCTGCCACATCCTAGCCTGTTACACTACTATAATTATCAAATTCTTCTCTGAGTTCCTTGTGGAATTCTAGTTGCTACTTGGCAAGACTACCAAGACTAAATGACACAAAGAATCTTCCCTATATCATGGAGAGCTGTTAAAGCAGAAAGGCAGAAAGGAAAATTTTCATGAGACCTTTTCCTAATATTTTATGCCCTGTCCTCTCAAAGGGAGTTTACTCATGGACATTTAAATTAGAGACTGGAAAGGATGAGCAGGCAACCTCTTGAAATGATGGTTACTGTTGTGGAGCAATGGTAAGGAAGAAGCATGAGACCAGAGCGTACAACTAACAAGGCTTTATTGCAGGGAATAAAGGGTTGTCGCGTCTGCTTGCTAACTTGCAGACTAGCGGGCGACAACGGGCTGGCTCTGCTCGACAGCCGGCTTATATAGCCAACTGTCAAACGGAGCCAACCAATGGGAGCGGCTGGTGCTCCTGCTCAAACAGCGGACCTGGTTGGGAACTCCCACCAGTTCCACAGACATAACACTCCTTTCCCCCAGCTGGGAACATGCGTAGTCCTGTAGGTAAGTTGGCTGTCTGCGCAGGCGACCAGAACGTCACAGTTCGGGTGGACTGTTGGCTGGCGACAAGTCCAGGCCCTCGGGACGTGCCTCGATGGTCGTCGGGGCATGGGCTTGCCCTGGCGCGGTGTTCTGCGAAGTCGGCGAGTCCCTTTGCTCGGGCAGACCCGGGCGAGTCTCGAGGTCCGGTTGGCAAACTGGAACGCTCGGCTGCTGAGTCGGTGATCCTGGCCGGAAACTCGGGTTCTCCAGTAGACCTTCCTGTTCGTTGGGGAAAACCGGGTCCCACAGGGAGCTTCCGTCTGGCACCGGCAGGGAGACGTTGGCGCTGGCAGGTCGGGTTGGGTTGGTATCAGCCGCACGTCGCCTTCTGAGTTGGTCCACGTGCCTTCGCCACAAGTGTCCATCTTCCAGGAGGACCCTGTAGGATCTTGGACCTGTGACTGACACGATTTGACCTGGTACCCACAAAGGATCCCCTGCATAGTTCCTGGCGTACACCAGGTCTTGCAAGGCAAAGTCTCTGACCAGACTGTCAGACCCTGGAGGGGTGTCTGGGAAGTAGTGGGGGTGTAGCCTGTCCAGGGTGGTTCTAAGGCGTCTCCCCATTAAAAGTTCGGCGGGAGATTTGTTAGTAGTGGTGCAAGGCGTCGTATGTTGGCTGAGCAGGAAACAAGACAGTTTAGAGTGCCAGTCTTCCTGGCCAAACCTGGCGAGTGCCTCCTTGGCTAACCTAACTGCTCTCTCTGCCATCCCATTGCTAGCGGGGTGAAAGGGCGCTGTAAGGATATGTCTGATGCCCAAATTAGCCACGTACATACTGAACTCACATGATGTGAACTGCGGGCCATTGTCAGACACCAGCGTGTCTGGAAGTCCATGGGTGACAAATAAACGGGTCAGGGCTTTGACTACTGCTTGAGTGGTGGTCGTGGGAAGCAAGGCCACGTCAATCCACTTGGAGTAGGAATCCACGACCACCAAGAAAGTCTTGCCATGTACTGGTCCAGCCAGGTCGATGTGCAGGCGAGACCAAGGGGCACTAGCACTTTCCCACCTGGTGGGCGTGGCGGCTGGCGGGGCAGCCCTGGTTTCTTGGCAAGGTTGGCAAGAGCTTACCCAGTTGGCGATTTGAGCATCCATGCCGGGCCACCAAACGTAGCTGCGGGCCAACGCCTTCATCCTTACGATGCCCGGATGGCCCTCGTGAAGCACCTTCAGGATGGGTACTCGAAGGGTGGCTGGGATGACTACTCTTGTACCCCACAATAGACATCCCTGTAGCCTTGACAGTTCCTGCTGGCGGGTTTTAAAGGGAACAAAGTCAACTGTACATTGAGTTTCCGGCCACCCCCTTCCCACCCAGTCCAGAACCTGGGCGATTATTTTGTCTTTTTTTGACTGCGCCGCAATGTCTTCAGCTGTC